TTCATTTGGTTTCTGGCATTTTTCACTCATTTTATTCATTTTGATTTTCCCCATTTTGTTCAGACTGGTGAATTCACAAGTGGAAGATTAGTAGGAGATAGGAAAATGTCATAGATGAGAAAAAAATATTAAGAGGAATAATTTTAATATTCTTTATAATCATGACTCTGGCTTTCAGTGATAGAGAAACAACTTAGAAAAGGAGAACAGGTGAATAAAAATATACATAAATAAATACCCATATAGTGGAAAGTGTGTAAGTCAAGGCTGATTGGTACCTAGGACAGCAATGCAGCATGGTTCTGATCTCCCCTGTTTCTTGTGGAAAGCTCTTTCTGCTTGTTGAGTTGATTTCTTTCTATGTTGGATGGGCTTTCTTCATACATCAGTTATATCTTCTCAGCCTCATAAACTGTACAAGAAAGTTCATTCCTAGGCTTCATGCAGTAGCCTAATGGCTAATGTCCGTGCCTTGCATACACCGGGATCCCATATGGGCACCAGTTCAGGTCCTGGCTACTTACTTCCCTTCCAGCTCTCTACTAGTGACCTAGGAAGGCAGTGGAGAATGGCCCAAAGCTTGGGACCTTGCACCTGTGTGGGAGACCGGGAAGAAGTTACTGGCTCTTGGCTTCAGATTAACTCAGCTCTGAACTTTGTGGCCACTTGAGGAGTAAGATCTTTCTGTCTCTTCTTCTCTCTGTAAATTCAGCTTTCCAATAAACATAATTAAATCTATGGGGAAAAGAGTTCATTGCTTTTTGTTCATTTTGTTTCTTAACTCAGGTTAGAAAAAATTATAAAAAGGCTCTGATTGGTTCAGTGTGGATCATATGTTTGTTTAATTCTAGAAGGATCAACAACCCCGGTGAAGTGTGATATCATGGCCTTGTTCTGGGTTCCACATTGCTCCAGTGTCTAAACAAGAAGAGGAAATGCTGGCCACACACACTAAAAACTCTATGTTGAAGGATGATTGAGGGGAATCTTAGATTAGATTGCAGTATCCCTATATCCCTGATGAGAGTGAAATTCTTAGTGGGGACTTTTGTAACCTGTAACCTACTGAGGAATTTGAAAATGAACTTTACTCTTCTGCTATGCTGTGAAAATGAACAGCTGGTGGTGTTGACAGCTGTCATCCACTCCCTTACCTTTCTGGGCTGCAAGTCCTACATCAAGGTGTTGTTGGCTGGAATGATGTATCCTGGTGTCTGTCTCCCCAGCTTGGGAGTGGCTACTTTCTCCTGATGTCCTCATATGGAACAATTTCAGGGCATGTTCATTCTTAGTGTGTCCACCTCTTTTTATAAATCAAATCAGATTAGGGCCCTGGCCTGTGACCTCATTTAACCTTTCTCACATGATATGTTTCCAAAACAGTGCCATTGGGGTTAGGGAATCAACCTCTGAAATTTTGGAGAAATACAGTAAGTTTCATTAAGGAAATGGGTCAAGCTGAGGAATACAATTACATCTAGTCTTTTCCCCTAAATCTTAAAGAAGAGGTATCATTCAGGAAAGGTGAACCCATCTGAAACCAAAACACAGAATAGTTGCAGTGCACAAACTAATTACAATAAGATCATGTGGTTAAGCAAAGCTACCAGAGATCAAGAGTAGCAAGCAGGCAAAAATTGTCCTCAAATGAGCTGGGAGTCCTCTAAAACACAAAGACTGGCTGTACATTACAGGAAGCATCTCTCTAAAGAGCGGAGACCTGTCTTCAGAGAAGCAAATACTTCTTGTGTCAGGTTAAGGGATAATCTCTGTCCATTCTTGTCTGATGGAAAAGTTGGCCATTTTTTTTTATCAGTTCTATGACCCAAGAGCTAAGTCTCAAATTTACCTAGGAAAATACAATACTGATATGCAAGTCTGCATGCTAATAATCCGATTACCAGCTACTGTTTATCAGAGGAAGCAGTGAATGTTTAAAATATCCACAGGTAAACTCTTAAAACCGTCATTATTGTTAAAAGGTAGTTTCCCACCGCAGCTCTTATTTGAACTTTAGTGGAAATTCTGTCTCTGAAAGAATAAAAGTCTGGCAGATGTCTTCATTTAATAGGAAGAATTAAGAATTATTTCAGAAAGCAAAACAGGAGCAGTTTAAAGTTTGGGAAATAAGTAGGATTGTGAGCCATTGAATGGAAACTGTTTTGTTCACTTAGCTGTGTAAATTTATAATTAATTCTCCTACCTATGAAAACAAACATAGGGTATATATGGGAATTAGATAAATATATTGGGGTGGTTTATTAAATAATTAATTTAATGGGGGTTTTGGTTTTTTATATATGGGTGGGGTTTTTTTTGGTGGGGGGGGGGGGGGGTTTTTTGGTGGGGGGGGGGGGTTTTTTTTATGTGGTGGTTTGTTTGTGGGTGTTGGTGTTTGGGTTGTGGGTGTTTGTATGTTGTGGGTGTATGTGGGGTGGGGGTGGGGGTGGTTGTGTGGTTAGGGGTTTGTGGTTGGGTGTTGTTTGTGGTTTTGTGTGGAGGTGGGGTGGTTTGGATTGGGTTTGTGATGTTTAAGTTTTTGTGGGGGGAGGGAGGGGTGAATGGGGTGGGGGTTTCTTTGTTTTTGGTTGTTGTAGGATGATTTATTTGGATTTGATGGGAATGGAAAAAGGATATGTATTGATTGATGTGGATATTGGGAAATTTGGTGAGGTTGATTGGGATGTAGGTTTGGGGGGAGTTGATTGTTATTGGTTGGTGGGGGAATGGATGGAGGTTATAATTGGGATGTTTAGTAGGTAATTTAAAATACTTATATCATTTATGTGGATATTGTGATGTTGTAGTTTAGTTGAATTTTGTTGGTATTTTGGAAAGCTGTTAGTTTTGGAGTTGCTTGGGTATTGTTGATTGTTCTAGACAACGCTGGCTCTCTACCTTTTCACACAAGGAAGCCCAAGTTGTGATTTGGAGCTGCATCACTGGGTTCTTTAGCATTTTATGATTCCAGTTTAGTATAATGCTTTTCTCTCTTGGACATTATAATTTTTCTTCCATTTGTAAAGCGCTTTATAGTTTTATAAGCAGTTTCACATAGAGTAGTTCATTTGTGGAACTAATAGCATTTACATGGGATAACAATATTCTAATAGAACAGTGCAATTCATGTAATGAGTTTAACTTGTTATTAGAATGAATGTCACTTGGATGAGATGGAAGGAGGAACCAGACTGGTCAGTAATTTTGAGGTTTGCTTTGACCATTCCTGATTTGTAAAAGGCAGAGTACAAGCCTTTTGTCTTTTCTTGGCCTCTTAATTCTTTTCCTTTATTTGCATTCAATCTGTTCTCCATCTTTGTTCTTCATTTTCACAAAAGATGAATTAGAGCACAGGAAAGGGGAATCACAGGATTTAGCACCCAGCTGTGTGATTACAACAGGGTACGTCTAATCTATATATTTTGTTTTGTTTTCACCTGTTATGACTTTAAAAAATACTAAAATTGGGATACAAATGAACACAGTTGACCACTTACTTGTTACTAACTTGACATTAAGACATAGAAGCATTTCATTACATGAGTTGATTGAAACCTCAAATACTTGTTTAGTATGAACAGAGATAATATGGAGTACCAAATCACTCTTACATCCTCTCATTTCCTTTTCCTACACTGATGGGCCAGATTTTCCACCTTCAGGGGTTCATAAAATCTTAGTTGCCTTGCTGGGCAACCAAATTGTTTAGTTATGGTAAATTATCAATTTGGAGATTTTTTTAGAAAAAAAAATTCAAGATCTGGAGCAGTAAGTGGGGAAGGGAGGGTGCTGAACATTGGCTGAATGTGGTCATGAACAAAGTATTTTATTGTCTACAAGTCAAGACAGAAAGCATAAAGACATTCTGTTCTTCTGTCAGGTCTTCCTTCACTGTTGAGATAGAGATCATTGATTTCGCTCTCTGCATTTCCCCCACACCCTGAACCTTGTAAGCATATCCCTTTTGGAAACTCCTTTTCCTTTTTCGGCTCCATAAGCCTACAGTTTTTACGATACAGCTACACCCTCTGAGCCCAAGGGGATGTGCAGAAGGAGGCTACCTGCCAAGGGTGGAGTATGATGAATGTGTATTGATGCTGTGCGGAATGTCGGTTGTACATTCTTCTGTTACTCCAGCCACTACCAGGTGACTCGCTTTGTTCAACAAAAGCTTGGTGAAGTTAAAATGCAGCTCTGCCTTTCTGATCCACTGCATTCATATGGAACAGTAGTAGGAACTTCTCAAGGGAGTACACTCAGAAGTGTTAGCGGTGCTTTACAGGAGAATCAGGAGTCCCCCTCACTGTGAGCGATAGGAACCAACAGATCCACAGACTCCTTTTTCTGGCAGAGAGTCTTGAGATCCATTCCCGACAGACAACAACACTGTAGCAGGTCATCCACAGTGCTGCTTCCTCTCTTGCCTCTGGTCCTGTTCACAAATAAACCACTTACATATTAACCTTGGCTTCAGAACTCTCATTCTGGAACTCCAGACTACAGCAGATGAAATCATGAAGTAATAAATCAGTCCTGGATGGCCTGCCCCTGACCTTCATTTTTTCTTTTAAAATTTTTAAGGAAAGAATTATTGTCATTTTCAGCTCAAGAATTTCTATTTAATCCCTTCCTATAGTTTCTGGAATTTATATTCTCCATTTAATAAGACATTGTTCTTAGCTATTTAGGCAACCTTTTCTTTAGTTATTTGAATATATTTCTAAAGGCTGATTTATAGTCTAGTAAGTACAGTTTCTGGGCTTCACCAGGACAGTCTCCAGTAACTGGGTGTTTTACTGTTTGTGAACTTTGCCGTCCTATTTCTTGTTTTCATTCATAATTTTGTTGAAAGCTGAAGCAAATTTTTCTTCAAATATTGCATTTGATTTATTGCTTTTATTTCACAGTATTAAATACAGATCATACATATTGAACATACAAAATGTCATGATTTAGTGTATGTAAAAACCTTGTATAGTAATTGTCAAACTATATAGTACAAAAATATAGAATTATTGAAGAATTTGTGTGTCATCCTTGTACAGCAATTATACTGAATTTCTCTGTCATTTTATGCCTAGCATATATGCTGCTAAAACAAGCATTAAGTATTTCACTTAGGTAATGTAATGTGACAATTTTGGAAATCAAATTCCCTCCCATCCTCCCCAGAGTTTGTTGATATTGTTGTTTATAATTTTTGTAAATATTTCATTAGTTTTCTTGAATAATTTTGTATACTTTTTAATTTAGCATGTGTAAATTTTAGGCTCTCTGCTCAGTAAGTTTTTTGGCCAGCTAATGATTAAACTGAGATTTCCTTAAATATTTGGAACCAGTAATGTCGCCTACATTTTCCAAGCCTTTTCGAAGAGGAAAAGAAATGCAGAGTTAATAGAGAAAGAGAGAGAGACTGAGAGAGTGTTCTTCCATCCACTGGTTCACATCCCATATGGCTGCTAGTGCTAGGCCAAGACAAAGCCAGGATCCAAGAAATTCATTTGGCTGTCTATATGGGTGGCAGGGTCCCAAATACTTGGGCCATCCCATACTGGTTTCTCAGTCCCTTAACAGGGAACTAGGTCAGAAGTGAAGCAGCCAGTCTCTAAAGCATGGTCACAGAGTGACACAATATACCACACCACAACTCCAACCCTTGAAATCTCTCTATATCATTAATGAAAGGGAGACGAATCTATATATATATGTATATATATATAGCTATCTATCTATATCTATTCATAATAATATGTATCTATTATCTATGTAATAGATATAATATATATATATATTAGAGAGAGAAAGAGCGTGAGCACACAGTACCTGTTTCCAGGCCAACTACCATGCTTCTGACTGAGCTTCCTTTACGGGTGCTCTGGAAGGCAGTTCAAGATGGCTCAAGTACTCTGGGCCTAACCATCTACCTAGGAGACCTGGATGGTCTCTTGCCCCTGACTTTGGGCTGGCGCAACCCTAGCGTTTGTGGAATCTGGGAAGGAATCGAGCAGTTGGGAGACTTCTCTTTATCTCCTATCTCCCATTCTTTCTGTTATTTTTCTTTCCAAGTAAAAATTGTAAAATTTCTGTAAGTCCCAAGTAAAGAAAGTTTGGAGAAATGCAACTATCCTGTTACAACTGTTGAGGACCAAGGACAGGATCATGTTGAAAATAGCTCAGCAAAATAATTTTCTTTTCTTTTTTTTAAAAAATGATTTATTTATTTTTATTGGAAAGGCAGAGTACAGAGTTGAGGAGAGACAGAGAGAAAGATCGTCTGTCTGATGATTCACACCCCAAGTGAGCGCAATAGCCGGTACTCGCTGATCCAGAGCCAGGAGCCAGGAGCTCTTCCAGGTCTCCCATGCGGGTGCAGGGTCCCAAGGCTTTGAGCCATCCTCCACTGCTTTCCCAGGCCACAAGCAGGGAGTTGGATAGGAAGCGGAGCCTCTGGGATTAGAACCGGCGCCCATAAGAGATCCTGGTGCATGCAAGGCAAGGACTTTAACCACTACGCTATCAAACCAGGCCCAGTATTTTACTTTCAAAGAAGCCTCACAACTTGGCTGACAGTAGCTCTCTCAGTAGAAACAATGGAAGCAAGGAAACATTAAAAATATACTTTCAAAACACTGGAAAAAGTTAAATCTAATAGCAGTGAAAATATTTTGCATTTAGAAATTTTCAGAAAAAAAATGAGGACTTATTTATAGCAGCAATTCACTTAAAAATCTCAAAGTGTATTCTTTAGAATAAATGAAATGATTTAATATGAGTAAGAGATAAATACCAGAACTTAAACATTCAGGTAAACCTAATGAATATTGAGTATAAAAATAAAATTAATAATGTATTTTGAGATTTTACACACACACACACAGGTTAAAGTATACATCAGCAGTAGCTTGCAAAAAGCAAAATGATAAACAGATTTAAAGTGATTTGATGCCTAGGAAAATGTCACAGCACCTTCATCTATAAACTGTAGTTGTCATTAGATATTTCTTGGTTGTACTGTAATTACTAAAAAACTTAAAGCATCTAAGAATAGTAAATTAAGTAAAAGCAAAGTGTGATAAATGAAGGGAGAATTTAAGAATAAACTTTATGGGCCCAGCCCATTGGCCTAACAGCCAAAGTCCTCATCTTGAACGTGCCTGGATTCCATATGGGTGTCTGTTTGTGTCGCGACAGGCATACTTCCCATCCAGCTCCCTGCTTGTGGCCTGGGAAAGCAGTCAAGGACAGTCCAAAACCTTGGGACTCTGCACCCACGTGGGACACCCAGAAGAAGCTCCTGGCTCTTGGCTTTGGATTGGCTCAGCTTCAGCCGCTGAGGCCACTGGATCATCACATGGAAGCTCTTCATGTATATAAATAAAAATCAACTGATAAAGCTGTAAACAAAGAATCCTGAAGCATCCACAACCATAGTGATACATTTTTTTTAAAAGATATACTTATTTTTATTGGAAGGCCAGAACAGCAGAGAGAAGGAGAGACAGAGAAATGTCTTCTGTCTGCAAATTCACTCCCAAGTGGCTGCAAAAACTGGAGCTGAGCCAATCCAAAGCCAGGAGCTAGGCACGTCCTCTGGGCTTCCTTCATAGGTGGAGACTCCCAAGGCTTTGGGCCATTCCCAAGCCACAGCAGGGAGCTGAATGGGAAGTGAAGTAGAACATGGAACATGAACTAGTGCCCATATAGGACCCTGAAGCTTGAGGGTGAGGATCAGTCAACTAAGCCACATATTTCCTTCATTGACAATGAGACAAAACATAAATAATAAAGGAAGAATATAAAAATATATATACAATTTGAACAACACAATTAACAAAGATGATGGAATTGATATAGAACACTGTGTCCAACATCTGCAGAATATGAATTTTTATGACGTGCACATGAAATGTTAACCAAAATAGATCATCTGCTGATTCATATAGAATGTCTAAACGCATTTCAAAAAGATTATAGGCATGCTGAATGTGTTCTCTGACCACAGTAGTCAAAATGAAGCTGAAAAACAAAAGCAAAAAATAACTAGAAAATTCCCATATGTTTAGAAATTAAGATGTATACTTCTAAATAGATTTTGAGTCAAGAATGAAATTATAGTGAAAATTAGAAAATTCGTTGAAATGAGTGATAATGAAAATACCACAACAGGCAGATTGCAGCTAAACAAATTTAGAGGGATAATTATATATTTAGATGCATATGTAAGAAAAAGATTAGGAATAATCTGAGCATCAATCTAAAGAATTATGGAGAAAAAGAACTCTATGAAACCCTAGGAAAGTTGATGGAAGAAATCAATAAATATAGGCAAAATTAACAACAAAACTAAATGTTAATCTTTTAAAATGCTTCCTAAAATTGGTAACTTTCAGTTTTAGTGATAAAACTGATGAGCTTGAGAGCAACAGAGAGCATACAAAAAAAGTCAGGGAAGAAAAAGGATATTGACATCAAGCTTGCAAATAATAATCATACATTTATATTCTAAACGATTTATGCCAGTGATCTGAAAATACAACATAGAATTACCAAATCCTGGGGAAGATTACAAAAACAGAATTAAGAAAAAATGTAAAAATTGCACATAAATAAGTGTTAAAAATAACCTTTTATTATAAATCTGCAGAACAAAAGCACACTGTGGCCAGATGGTTGTCGTACTTGGATTTGAGCAATTAATGAAGGAGAAGTTCATGACCCCTTTACATCATCCTTTTATATAAAAACGAAAACAAAAATGAAATTAGGGAACACTTCCCACTCAATTTATATGGCATATATAACCTTCTCATAAAAATTGACAATGAGTTACAAAAAGAACAATTTCAAGTAAATCTTCTATGTAAACATTGATGTGAACTTCTGCACATAATATGAGAAAACAATGAAGGCAAAAATTAAAATTGTTGTTTTCATGATCAAGTTTGTTTTATTCTAAAAATGAAAATTTATTTAATGTTAATAAATGGGGTGATATAACTCACAACATCAATAATAAAAGAAATAAACAATATTTTTAATACATACAATAAGGTTCAGTTTAAGAGCATTTGGGTTTATAATTAAACACAAACATGTAAATATCTTAACAAAATAAGAATAAAAGAAACTTCCTTCACTTAAAAAAATAGTAAGTAAAAAATTAAAAAAAAATACTAAGCATTAATGTGTTCTTTGGAAATACTAAAAAAAGTATTCAAAATTAGGAATGATTCAAAGTTGCTTTCAACTTTGTACCTTTTACTCAAGACTATCTTCAGGGCAATAATGTATAAACAGAGGACCCAGTTTTGTGGCTCAGCAGTAAGGTGCTGCCTGCAATGCCACTATCCCTTATGCATTTTGGTAGGAATCCTGGCTGCTCCCACTTTTGATCCAGCTCCTGGCTAACACTCCCAGGAAAGCAGCAAAAGATAGAACAAGTGATTGGGCTCTGCAATCACGTAGGAGATTCCAATGAAGCTCCTGGTTCCTGGCTTCCATCTGGTTCAACTTTTGCCATTGTTACTAGTTGAGGAATGGATAAAAGATTTCTCTCTCTCCTTTTCTTTCTGTTCCTCCTCTCACTCTGCCTTTCAGATAAATAAGTTTTAACACAAAAATGTAAAAGAAACAGATAATAAAATAAATAATAAAATCATTGCCTGAAATAACTAAAATGTTTATCATCAAAGACATTGTAGTCTTACATTCTAAAGAAACTGATCAAATTATTGAATACATGCTGGGTGTTGTATGTATGTTAGGAAGCAAAATGTTTTAACAGTCAGTTATATTGTTTAACAGTCAGTTATATTTCTGTATAGTAGCCTCCAAGATTTAGATAAGAATGAAAAATAAGTTGAATAGTATAAAAATAATCAATTCTTTGTAACTGATCTAATAGAAGATATATAGGACATGAGAAAAGAAAATGATGAAGTGATACTGGGAGAAAACAAACTTCAAGTAATTAGAAGAAATGTGCTTTTCATATTTGGGAAAACTCATGATCATAAGAATACCACTTTTCTCCAAATTGGTATTTAGATTCATTACATCCCAAACAGATTCTCCAACACATTTTTTGTTGTAACATAATAGCCCT